AACGCATTATGGTGTGTTAGAAAATTATATCTTAATAATGACCTTGGTACTGCCACCAAATAATTTCATACCTACACTATTCTATACTTCAATCCGCAGTTGAAAATCAACAAACACAAAAAATAATTAATATAGTAAATAATATAACCTATAGTAGGCATAATAAAAAACTCAAATCAGTTTTCGAAAGTATTATCGCACTAAGTTGATTAGTATATTGGGGAAAAGATTATTATGCTTTGGATGTATATTGTATAATTATTAATTGCCACCAATYCCTTTAAAATAATGGTTATATTCAAAGTGAAAAAGTCAGGCTGACCGGCATTAAAAATATTAAGATTATAAAATATACTAGCCAGTATTAAAAATAAGATGCAAATATATAATGGTTGTTAAACTTTTTATGAAATTTTGTATTCATTGCGTTACACAATATTAAAATACACATCTTAGAAGCTGGAAATTTACCACTCTCGCAGACTGCAGAGGTTCTTAACTTCTTTGTATTTCCTCGGAACAATTGTTTATTATTATTATTATTACTATTATTTTTTTTTTAATAAACATTAAACATAAATTATTATATATTATACTAATATTTATTCCCGGTATTTAAAAAAAAAAAACCCAGCTGTGTAGCTGTCAGCAATACTGGGCGTACCTATATAATACCTAGTTAAAAAGTTAAAAGTTAAGTTATAACCGGAGCTATAACTATTAAAAAATAAACAAATATTTTGTTTGTATCACAAGTACATGATGTTTAACCAATCCTGATAACTTTAATTATTTATTTTAACATTTACATTTTTATTACACTAAATTAACATATGCTATCTAGAAATAAATATTTGTAGGAAAGTACCTACTCGTATGTTTTTGTTTGCCAACGTTGTAAATACGATTATTAAACTATTTCAGATATTTTAATAATTATTATAATAATTGAATGTAATATCAAAATTTGTATTTAATATTTACTGGCCAGCATAATGAATTTAATGCATGTAAGTATGTAACGAATATGATTGCTGAAATATGTGAATTTATAAAACAATATGGAAATAAATTGCTGTTTTCACATTGGCGTAACAAATAATCGAATTCTTGGAACAAATCGTTTAACGATTGAAAATTGTTCATACAAATGATGACGGTGGTATGATTTATAATATTTATATTGATCACATAATTTAAAAGTTAAACTCCTATATATATATATATATATATATATATACAGGGTGTCCCAAAGACATCTGACATTCTGACAAATGAAATAACTTTTGTTCTAATCAATATTCTTTTTAATATAATCCATAGACACTTACGCTACATTTTTTATTTTTATTTTTTAATACTGAAAATAAAAAACTTAAAAATTGATAAAACTTTTTTCGAAATATTCAATATAGCCAATTTGTAAGTTTGATTTTCAGAAAAATGTATATGGTAAAAATACTTATTTAAGTCAAAAGGCTGATTTTTACAATTTTTTTAAATATCAATATTTTCGTTAGGTAAATTATAGTAATTTATAGTTTATACATCATATATTATTAAAATAAATACAATAAAAAAAATAATTAGATTTTAACATGCACTTATTTAAAAATGTTCTTATAAAATATTAAAAAAAAAACTTTATTATTATTTGAAATTACAAGGTTTCTAACATAAACTAGACCGTAATTTACTTAAAGAAAATATTGATATTTAAAAAATTTGTAAAAAATCAGTCATTTGACTAAATAAGTGTTTTTACCATATACATTTTTCTAAAAATCAGATTTACAAATTGGTTATATTGAATATTTCGAAAAAAATTTTTATCAATTTTTAAGTTTTTTATTTTCAGTATTAAAAAATAAAAAATAAGAAATGTATTCTAAAAATGTAGCGCAAGTGTCTATGAATTATATTTAAAAGAAATTTTTTTAAAATATTGATTAGAACAAAAGTTATTTCATTTGTCACAATGTCAGATCTCTGTGGGACACCCTGTATATATTGTGGACTCGGGATCTAATTAAAATCAAATTTTTATTTGCATTTAAATTAGCACATGTTCCGAGACAACAGCTTTCCAATCATTAATTGTATTATGTTTATCGTGTTCAACATTTCTACAAAATGATCCCATTATTGAATGGCTGCAGCAGTATTTTGCGTACAAATTACCCATGTGAACCTGCCTCACATGAAAACTTTACACGTGTTACAAGTCAACTGGGCGTTCACAACTATGTGCTTGGCGTACTTGCAAATACCTACTAATTTATCCGTGGTACGTTTTATTGGGTTAGTTTCAAAGTTAAATTTGATAAGTTAACTTRAGAATACAAATACACCAAAGACGGCGCACACAAAAACATACTGAAAAAACATTTAATGAGCAATGTTCGATTGCATGAATTACCTATCATTGTTGAACAATAAACATTATCACTAGAGTTTGKTATTATTTTTTATCATAACACCAACCTACACCAACATTTATTATCAAGTGATACTAACTATATTATGGAATATTAATTATTTTTTTAAAATACATAAAATCATGACAATTTTTAAATAAGTTATAAATAGTAATTATAATAGGTAAGAACGCATAACAGTTATCGGTCGAAAACGCTTCTATCAATTTTAAAATCAAACATTGAATAATATCAAAATTGAACTGTATGCTAGACTCACAATCGTACAACATTCGAATCCAACACTTTTTTTACGATTACATTATCGATGCCTGCAAATACGGTGATATTATACGCAATACGCATATTGTATTAACATTTTAATGAAGCCTCAGCGCATACCTACTACTTCACTGACCTAACCTATTTTAATAATTATTTACCAAAATATATTCTCACCTATATTACATGTTATACATAACATAACACTATATTAACGACTTTTTACAATTTGCAAAAGTATATGCTCTTGAAATGTTAAACATTTTTTAAAAAATTTGTTGAAATTGTAATTGTTACTATTGAAAGGGCTGATGAGACTTTTTGCTGACGCTCTCCGTATATTTATTGAATTTTTATATTTCGATGGAAAAAATTTCAAGCTAATTTAAGAATATACCTTGAAAATTTCCGGGAACAGTAAGTAACATATATGCACACCAAAAAAATTTAGAATATGTAAATTTTTACTACAAAAAAGGAACGAAAAAATGTTCTCGACCTTCCACGTMATTTAGATTTTAAAGCTTAAGGTGTTTTGTGTGAATTTCAAAACTTGTTTCATA